AAGGGTTGTTGCTCCGTGGGTCTGGGCTGTGTGTTTGTGATACATTTATAGTATTGTGTTGTTGCCTTTTAATAAATACCTTTTAATGTAGACGAACCTTGTGTAATATATATATTAATTTGGTGATACACCACATTTTGGCGACCACGAATTTTAGACTTCTACAACAAATGTTTGTGAGGCGCAATAACTACCATATTGATACATAATCTAAGAGAAAGAGACTTTATAGCTAAGGATAGGACTCGTCTTCTGTAGTTTAAAGGTACGAATAGTGAGGGAGTTGTGATCCTGGTATTTGGATAGGATTTCCATTATTTCAGAAGAGACTTTAGCATGAACTGTAGCTACTATGTGTGAGGCAGGAATTATAGAGGATAAATGAGTTACGGGAGGAGAAAAGTGTTCATGCTGTCGGGATAGGGCATCCGCTTTGGTATTCTTAGATCCGGGTCTATATGTCACAATGTAGTTAAAGCATGTCAAAAACAAAGACCAACGAATCTGCCTGTCAGACATTCTTTTCGCATCTCCAAAATATGAAAGATTTTTGTGATCGGTAAGAATTGTGATAGGTTCAGATGACCCCTCTAATAGATGACGCCATTCCTTGAGTGCGGAAATAATAGCCAACAGTTCTCTATCTCCTATGTCATATCTTCGTTCCGTTTCAGTCAATTTTTTAGAGAAATAACCACAGGGATGTAGGGGTTGATCATTCGAAGATCTCTGGGATAATACAGCCGCTACCCCTGTCTCGGAGGCATCTACTTCCAATATAAAGGGACGTAAAGGATTAGGATGACTTAATACCGTGGCTGAAGAAAAAGCTATCTTAAGTTTCTCAAAGGCATCTTTAGCTTCAGGACTCCATACCGTATGGTTCCTATTCTTTTTTGTCATGGCGGTAATAGGAGCGGTAATAGAGGAAAACCCTTTAATAAACTTTCTATAATAATTGGCAAACCCTAGGAAATGTTGGATGGCTTTTTGTAGCGTTACTTACCTTAACCGGGGGCCGGTCGCGGTCCTCTCTTCAAGCCGCGCGCGGTCCTGCGGCTGCACGAGCCGCGCGCGGCTCATCCAACTACTTCGGATGGAAGGCGGGCAGTGACCGCGTGAGGCGGTCACGTGTCCCGCCTGAAACTAAGAGCGCGCCGCGAGTCTCGGGCGCGCTCTTAAAGGGACAGTGGGTGCAGTGGCGTACTAAGGGGGGGGCGGGGGGGGCGGTCCGCCCCGGGTGCCAGCCGGGTGGGGGGTGCCATGGCCAGCCCCCCCGCCCCCCCCATGCTGCAGCCGCCCGAGCGCTCTGTATTGAGCCTCAGGCGGCTGCAGCTTTGCCCGGGCGGTGCGTCCATGAGGGCGGACCGCACCGCCCGGGCGCAGCCTGAGGAGAGGCTGACAGGAGGGAGCGCTCCTGTCAGCTCCCTCACTGCAGCATGGTCCGACGGGTACAGAGAGCAGCTGTCTCCTGTACCCGCCGGACTAACAGGAAGTGCACACTCAGTGTGCACTTCCTGTTAGTCCGGCCGGGTACAGGAAACAAAAGCTCCCTGTACCCGCCGGCTATACTGGGATCGGCCACGCTACAGGGAGGTAGGGGGGAGGGGGAGAAAGAAGGGTGAGAGAGGGGTGAGAAAGAAATAAGGGGGGGTGAGAGAGGGGTGA